CTAGTGTAGGTACTTGCGTAGACACTAGTAAAGGAGCTGCTCCGGAGGACGCTTCGCTGTCTTTCACTCTGGACTCCGGAGCTTCGCACTGTTTCTTCCGCGACCACACGACTCTTACTCCGCTTCCTGCACCGGTCTCTGTAGCACTGGCTGATCCCACTTCGGGACCAGTCACTGCTCGCTACACTACTACGCTTCCGTGCCCAGCTGTTCCCTCGGGTTTCCTGACGGGCTTCCACGTCCCCGCGTTCTCCAGTAACTTGGTGGGTGTGGGGCCGCTTGTGTGTAGTCACGTGGGTGTTTGGTTTGAGCCTTCTGGGGAGACTGCGACTTGTGTAGAAGGTGACACGTACGCGCCTCTGGCCACCTTTACCGCTGAGCCTTGCTCTGGTCTCTACACACTTCACACTGGCCCCCGAGGGAGGCAGCAGCAGCAGCAGCAGCAGCAGAAGCAGCAGCAACAGCAGCAGCAGCAGCAGTAGCAGCAGCCGCAGCAGTAGCAGCAGCAGCTGCCTCCGACCCCTGTCACTGCCCCCCGTGAGGTCCCCAGGTAGCTGTGTCTGGTCAGGTTCCAATGTCTGGTCCAGTTGCTGCGTCTTGCTCGTGCCGGTCGCTTGCCCACCCCACTGTTCTGTGGCACCACCGGATGGGGCACCCGTCCATTCCTCGCCTGCGCGCTATGTCTAGTCAGCGTCTTATTTTAGGCCTCCCGCGAGTCTTGCCGTCGCTCCCACCTTCACTTGCGCCACCCTGCGGTCCCTGCGTCGAGGGTCGGCTGCGCGCCACCCCTCACTCCTCCTCCCTTCGTCTAGCTCCCGAGCCCTTCGAGACTCTCCACTTGGACGTCTGGGGCCCCGCCTCTCGCCCTGGCCCTGAGCGAGAGAGTTTCTTTCTGGTGGTCGTTGACGACTACTCCTGCTACACCACAGTGTTCCCCCTGGCGAAGAAGTCTGAGGTGACTTCTACGCTGATCAGGTGGTTGCTTACCACTGCGGACACTCGTGGTCGTCGTGTCAGCTGTCTTCACTCCGACCGCGGGGGTGAGTTTCGCTCCGGCGTTCTCGCTGGATTCTGTCGCGAGCAGGGCATCCGTCAGTCCTGGACGCTTCCAGAGTCCCCACAGCAGAATGGGGTTGCTGAGCGCTGCATAGGCTTGGTCATAAAGATTGCCCGCACCTCCATGACTCACGCCCGTGCCCCCCATTTTCTGTGGCCCTATGCGGTTCGGTACGCCGCGCACCAGCTGAACCTCTGGCCACGTGTCTCTCGGCCAGAGGTTTCACCGACCAGTCTTTGGACCAGGTCCCCTGGTGCTGCGTCGCGTTTTCGTGTCTGGGGCTGCTTGGCGCTTGTTCGCGACACCTCCGCGGACAAGCTCTCCCCTCGCGCCCTTCCCTGTGTCTTCCTTGGTTTCCCAGAGGACTCCTCTGACTTCACCTTTTACCACCCTCCCCTTCACCGGTTGTTTGACTCCTGCGACGTCCGTTTTGACGATTCCGTCCCCTACTACACCCGGTACCCCTGTCGAGGTCTCCCGGTTCCTCCTCCCCCTCTCTTGCTGACTTCCTCTCCCCCTCCTACTCCTCCGGTACAGCCCCCCCCCCTGGTCTAGCCCCGTCGCGTATGTCACACGCTACCCCCACCCCCTCAGTAGCCCCTCAGGTGTAGTCCTCTTCCCTGCAGTCCTCCTCACAGCCCGCTGCAGACCCTGCGGGAGCTAGTGTTTGTGTTGAGGACCCTGGAGGTGCTAGCTCTGGAGGTGTTGGCGTTGGAGCTGAGAGCGTACTTGTCCGTGGTCCTGGTTCTGGGGGTGCTGGACTTGGAGCCGAGCTCCTGATAGCAAGAGACCCTAGTCTTTGGGGAGCTGGTGTTGGTCGTGCTGTCCCTGGGGGTGCTACGACTGGGGGTGTGGGTGCGCCCTCTGCTGGACCCGGAGAGCCTGGGACAGACAGTGCCTGTTACTTCTGGTGGTGCTGGCTCTGGGGGTGGTGTGGGTGGTGCTTTGGAGGGCGGTCCTGGGGCTACCACTGCCCCGGCCACTAATCCTGGCCCACACCCCTACCCGACCCGGCACCAGGCCCGTCTTCGCCGTGCACGTGAGAAGCAGCTAGAGTTGGAGAGAGAGAGAGCCTAGAATTGGAGCAGCAGCAGCACCAGGAGCTACGGCGCGGGATGAGAAGCAGCAGCAGCCGCAGCAGCAGCAGCCGCAGCAGCAGTAGCAGCAGGAGCAGCAGCAGCAGCAGCAGCGGCAGGAGCAGCAGCAGCAGCAGCAGCAGGAGCAGCAGCAGGAGCAGCAGCAGCCGCCACCTCCTCCTCCTGTCTCTGGTCTTCGGACCCTCGGTCTCCCCTCTCCCTCTCCTCCCTCCTCCCCATGTCCTCCTGTCTCCGATCCCCCGCATCCTCCTCCTGACCCCACCCCAGCTGTTTTCCCCCGTTCTCAGCCTCCGTTGTCCCCTCCTCTTTCTCACACTTGGGCCTCTCGTCGCTCTCCTCGTGCTCGTCCCTCGTCTCTTGTTCCTGTCACTGACCTTCATACTGTCCTGTTTCGTCCTAGTCCGCCTCGCTCGCCTCCGTCTGTGCTTCCTTCTCCTCCTGAGTCGGCCCTCACTGCTTCCAATTCTACTCCTGTCACTGACTACTACCGTACGTGCGGTCCTGTTCTCTCTCGTGTTCTCGCCTCTCTTGTTACCGACCCTCGTGCCTCTCTGTCCTCTCGGTGCCTGGTGGTTCCACACCGTTCTTTGTACTAGTCTACGTCGACGACTTGGTCTTTGCCACTACTGACATGGTTTCTTTGGCTGACGTGAAGTCCGAACTGCAGAAGAGACACATGTGCACTGACCTTGGTGAGTTGCGCCACTACCTTGGCCTGCAGATCACCAGAGACAGAGCTGCTCGCACCATTACACTCCACAGCCACACATGGTGCAGCAGGTCCTTCAGCGGATCGAGCTTCAGCACTCTACCTTATAGCGCACTCCTCCTTGCCGTTGACCACAGACTCACTGGCCCCTTTCCCGACGAGCCTTTTGAGCCTAGTGGTCCTTACGTAGAACTTGTGGGCTGCCTCATGTACCTGATGACTTGTACTCGCCCGGACCTCGCCTTCCCTCTCAGCATCCTTGCTCGCTTTGTTGCACCAGGGAGACACCGTCCTGTTCACTGGACAGCTACTGTGAGGGTGGCGAAGTACCTAGCGACGACATCAGGCGTGGGGCTGGTACTTGGAGGGAGACAGTCTGTCGTACTTACTGGTCACTGTGACTCTTCTTACGCTGACGACGCCGAGACTCACAGGTCTACCCTGGGTTACTGTTTCAGCCTGGGCTCTGGAGCTGTTTCGTGGAGGTCCACCCGTTCCTCCTCGATCTCGACCTCTTTCGCTGAGGCTGAGATCTACGCTGGAGCCATGGCTGCACAGGAGCTGCGTTGGTTGACCTTCTTGCTCGCCGACCTTGGTGAGCGGCCGAGCTCTGCACCGACCTTGTTCACAGACAACAAGACGACGATTCTCCTCTGTTGAGAGCCTCAACTCGAGAGCAGAGTGAAGCACATCAACGTTAGGTACTTTCTTCTGCGAGAGTTGCAAAGGCGTGGACAGATTGGAAGGGAAGTGGGGGGGTGGGGGTGGGGGAGAGGGAGCGGATTCGAGGAAGGAGCTAAAGAAGGTACAAAGAAAGGACAATGCAACGCGAGGAGAGGCAAACCGGAAACCAATTTCACTGCAAATCTCTCTGGATAGGGTAAGATCGACGCACCTGATGCAGCCCTTTAAGGTCCGGCCGCCGCCCTTGTCGCCTCGGAGATTTTCGCAGCAGCTGTCTTTGCCCCCGCCAAGACTGCCACCATTGCGGTCGCTGTCTCCTCACTTGGCATGAGCGACCCTTTCCCACCGTGTAGCTTTGTAGGTAGAACACTGCCTCTAGAGCAGGGCGTCAACACTTGCTGGCGTGGCCTTCTTCCCTCCCGGGGTCAGTTGAAAATGCTTGACCGAGCATGGTGGACCTATGCCCGTGTTAAGTACGGCTATTCGCGTAAAAACAGTATGGGTACGAGAGTGAGATGGGGAGAGACGGGAGTGAGAGGGATAGGGAGAGAGGGGAGTGAGAGAGGGAGAGAGACGGGTGTGAGAGCGGGAGAGGGAGGGACAAGAGTGCGAGAGGGAGAGGCAGAGACGAGAACAAAAGTTTAGTGAATTGGACACGTGAGCTCGAGGGCTCGGGAAGAGAGGCGAGAGTGAGAAGGGCAGGTTAGAATGATCCATCGCACATCAAACTAGCAACCTGAAACAACTGGACAACTAAAAACTACGAAGCTGGTTTGAGCAGCTAAAATGAGTAGAAAAACAATGATCGGCTGAAGTTGTGGGCTGGGGAGAGGAAGAGAAGGGCAATGGAGGGGTGGGGCTGGGGAAGAGGGGGGTGGGATCAAACCAGGAGGTAAGGTATGACGACACGTCAGCATGGGAGTAGAGTCAAACCACAACGCAAGTGTGCATCACATGCGCCAAAGAGGAGATGGACTCACTCATGGTTTTTGCCTTTCCACTCGAAGGTTGTTTTGCCTTTCCTGTGCGGATATGTAAACATAGGAACAAGATATAGGGGGTGGGTTGGCATGTAATCACACATGCGACGATGAATGAGATGCTGAGACTATCAGTCCATAACCGTGGCACGTACTAGCAAGAGAGGAAAATGGGCTTGCGAAAAGGTGGGTAAGAAAGGGCGATAGAATATTTAGAGTAGCCATGGCGCACCCTTCTCGTTTTGGAGGGGAGGAGGGTTCTCCTCGCCCTCATTCGCCTTTCTTCTTTTCTTAGGCTGCAAAGGACGGCCATCGTTGAAAGTCCGAGCGCGGCCAGCAGCAACCACGCTCTCCCCTTTGTTGGGAGTGTGCTCCTCTCCTTCGTCCTGTGCTTCCTGCTCGGGGACGACAGGGCCCAATCCGAACAACGGTTTGAACTTCCCCTTTTTCACCACACGTTCAGCTTCTGCATCCTAGTCCACGGTCGTCCCACGACTTGCTTCTTGAACACGATGCCTTCGCAGCCCTCTCACAGCGTATGCACTAGCATCCGATTCCGTACATTCATCAAGTTCATCTTCTTCCCCAGCTGCTTCCTTCATAGCCTGGTTCACCATTTCTTCTTCTTCTTCCCCCTCGTCCCCCTCGTCCCCCTCGTCCCCCTCGTTCCCCTCGTCCCCCTCGTCCCCCTCGTCCCCCTCCTCCCCCTCATCCCCTGCATCCTCCTCTTCCCCCTCGTTCTCATCGTCCCCCTCGTTCCCCTCGTCCCCATCATCCCCCACCTCCCCCTCATCCCTTGCGTCCTCCTCTTCCCCCTCGTTCTCGTCGCCCCCCTCGTTCCCCTCGTCCCCCTCGTCCTCCTCCTCGCCCTCGTCGCCTTCGTCGCCTTCCTCGCCTTCCTCGCCTTCATTGCTTTCGTCGCCCTCCCCGCCATCGTTGCCTCTTCCGCTGCACCGTCTCCCATGGGGAAAGTCTCTGCCTGGTTGTCCTCGACGCGCTCCTCGTGTGTTTCAACGCCATCAACAGAGCCATCCTGCAAGGAAGGAGTGCACACATTTTGACACAGGTAGGGTCCCCGGCTTGACTCTCGCTGTGAATTTCTGTGTCGAAACAGCTCGCAACCGCCTTGGTTGTGAGCCACGCCCTCTCTTTTCTTAGCGGCTCCCTTACCCCTCTTGCACGGTTTGCAGGTTTCGCCCTTAGCCAACCCTTGGCTACCTACTTCCGATCCCCCTCTGGATGGTAAAGCCATGACTACTAGAAGAGAGGCGTGGTCCATGTTTATGCCGCAATAAGGCAAGTATGCGGAAAATAGTTGAGCAATAGTGTTGAGATGTCTTACCTTTAAACGGACGTCAGTGGATGGCTTTGAAACGCTTGATGCTCTCAGGCCGTAGCTGCAACGAGTGAGGCACGGATCGCTCACGACCTCCAACGCAGGCGTGGCGTGCTCAAAGGCATCTTGTAGACATGCCTTCGCAAAGTCTGTGCGTCGTAAATCACGACGTCACGAGGCTTGTGCATCGTAAACAGGCCGTCGCGAAGATTGTGCGTCGGAAACACGGCGTTGCGAATTTAGTGCGTCGTAAAGGACGGCGTCGTGAAGTTAGTGCGTCGTAAATCGCGGCGTTGCGAAGTCTATGTGTCGTAAATCATGGTGTCGCGGAGTTTGTGCGTTGTGAATCACGGCGTCCAGACTGTAGTGCATCCATGATGAAACCGACCTTAAGAGGGTCGCGATGAAACGCGCCCTGAAAAATCACGGACTACAGTGGCTCGCGCGGTGCGACACTACCGTGGGTGTACAGACTAAGCTGTAGGGTTGTGTGACACTTAGAACGTGTCAAAAGGTCTGGGAGCGCTAGGAACGTCGATCGAGTGCTAGTAACGCGAGGGAGAGGAGAGGTGAGAGAAGGTGAGCGTGGCAGAGAACCTGAACAGAGTCTGAGTATCGGGGAGAGGGGAGTGGAGGCGGGACGTGGTAACGGATGACGGACGTGGTTGGTGGGTGGTCTAGGGTGTTCAACTAACGTGACGAGAGATGGACGAGCCAACGTGCTCAGTAACGGATGATGGACATGGTTGGTGGGTGGTCTAGGGTGTTCAACTAATGTGACGAGAGATGGACGAGCCAACATGCCCAGTTGAGGATCAACAAAGTTGAACTTGTGGGGAGTAGCTGCGGAGATGCCTAGCCATAAGCCGCATATCCTAGTCGACGTGTGATGTTTCGGCGTGTTGCTGTAGATTCCAACCAATCCTGGAGCACCAACACCCTAACATCTTCAATCTACAGCAACGTCATTTTATGCCTATCGCCAGCGTTACGGGGGTGAGGTACACTGCACAGGGTCGCCTACCAATGGGTCTAGTGCTGCTGTCGTTTGTAACTTTCCAGAGTAGTGGACATGTACAACAAGGCTTGGTTAAACTAATTACATATCATAATGTCACTCACACCGATCCCAAAATCGCACTCACAAATGTGGCTAAGTGTGGTGAATCTTGATGTATGGATGTTTATTAATGAATACGATTGAGATTTGTAGACATAACCTCATTAGACCTGAAAGAATTGCCAACAACCCACACTGAGTTGCTTTATGGCCCCAAATGCAATCACACTTGTACATCTTTTTTGGTTTGTCAATACCAATTTTTAGCTCTAAAACCTCGTTTGTATGGCTGTCATAACCCCACTAAATCTCTTATACAAGTCTGCAAGAAAATGTTGAGTTTGCAATTTTTCACAATGCAGCCCATATTCCAAGCTACAACCATGGAGATCCAATCACTTGACATCTCATTCTCTGGCCATCAAAGTCTAAAAAGGATAGGGGTGACTCGTGACACTGATCCCGCCTCCTGTTTTCATTAACAGCTCTTTCCAACAAGTCTACATAGGTCTCAGGCGACACCACATGTGCTAAAGCAGTCGATGTACTTGTGCAATCTGCACAAAGTGTGAAACGAAGAGGTGAATGACTGGTTTAGAGTTATGGGATGGATCTCAAACTTTTTTTAGAGTGTTTAGTAGGTGTTGTGACACCCCCATACCATTTTCATATCATTTGGAGCATCAGAGCCTGTTGGCGACGCGACATGTGCAGAAGCTGGCGTTATACTTGTGCAATGTGCTTAGGGTGTGGAACAAAGAGGTGAATGACTGGTGTGGAGTTATTGGATGGAGCTCAAACTTTGTTGAGAGTGTCTAATAGGTGTTGTGACATCCCCATACCTTTCTCAGAACATTTGGAGCATCACAGCCTATTGGCGATGCGACATGTGCAGAAGCTGGCGATGTACTTGTGCAATGTGCTCAGGGTGTGGAACAAAGAGGTGAATGACTAGTGTGGAGCTATGGGATGGAGTCGAAACTTTGTTGAGAGTGTCTAATTGGTTTTGTGACACCCCCATACCTTTTTCATATCATTTCGAGCATGACTGCCTGTTGGCGATGCGTCATGTGCTGAAGCTGGCGATGTACTTGTACGATCTGCACAGGGTGTGGAACAAAGAGGTGAATGACTAGTGTGGAGTTATGGGATGGAGCTCAAACTTTGTTGAGAGTGTCTAGTAGGTGTTGTGACACCCCTATACTATTTTCAGATCATTTGGAGCATTAGAGCCTGTTGGCAACGCGACATGTGCAGAAGCTGGCGATGTAGTTGTGCAATGTGCTTAAGGTGTGGAACAAAGAGGTTTATTATTGTTATTATTATTATTACTATTATTTATTTATTTATTTATTTATTTATTATTATTATTATTATTATATTGAATGTATTTACCGTTACAGCAAGTATACACAAACAATAAGCGGTCGTAAGTGGGCTTGAGGGGACTGCGTGTCCGCCCCTGCTGAGAGTTTACGGAGGGTTGAACACCGTTCGTGGGTTGGACTAGATGGACTCGAACTGCCTAGTCCACGTCCACTTCTTATCCCCAGCGGTACGAATCCGACTCAGCATTTTCTGCTCCTCTAGGATACTCGCTTGAAAGGCTCCCCCCTGACCGGCCTTCCTCCTTTTTTGCCCCGTATGAAGGCGGGATTTCGAGTAGACCCTTGTATGCTGTCTTAAGGCCAGGATGATTCTCCTCAGCACTCGGCGCGCACGACAGCCCTTCTTCCCACCGTGTCACACCTCTCCACCCAGATATGGTGAAGAGTGATGGTGATGAGTGTGGCCTCCGGGAAGGCGGACTTGGTGCCCGCTTTGCGGAACAAGAGGTCCCCCAAGCGAGGACGTCAAGCGCGAGGGGTTGAGGAAATGAATGGCGCGCTTCAGAGCCGTTACCACAGTCTGAATGCGTGGGCACTAAAAAAGGCAGTGTTCCATTGTCTCCTCTGCTGCACAGTACGGGCAGACTGGCTTGCTGCTGAGAAAAGCCAGCCGCTCTCCCACTTGCAGGTTCAAGTTGTAAATTCGCATCAGCAAATCCCTCGGGCGGTTAGGAACGGCAAGGGACTCCGTGACACTTGTCACCTTCTCCCAACAGATCCGTCCTCTCCACCTGTCCGCCCATTTCAATCTCCGCTGTGATTCTGTGCGCCCATCTTTCCAAATTTCCCTCATCTGTCTCTGGGACACCAACTGCCCGTTGTCAAAGATTGGCAGCCCCGGCACTTTCCCCTCTGGCGGAACCAAGTCAGCCGAGCACTCCCCCGGCGTTAGCAGCAGCGATTTCCAGATTTAAGGAGCTGCCACAAATGCCTTTAGCGCGAGCCTCGCCGGACCCTTTCCTCCTAACTCCGCCATGGTTTTGAGCTCCGGCGCCTGTCCATGGTCCCTCGCTACCAGATCGCCCAGCGTCACCTCCCATAGCTGCTCCGCATCCTTTTGCCTGCCTACCGGCCAGTCACGCCCACCAAAATCTTCTTATTGAAGACCAACCTCTCTCGTGCCACCGCTTCCCAAGTAGTCAGCTCCGGCAGCAAGCAGAATGGCGATTTCATGAAGCTTTTGCACGTTTGCTTCCAGCGCTGGCTTCGGCCTTTCCAGTTTTTAAATAGCTTGTCGTGTGAGATGAAAGAGCCCACTCCTAGAGGAAGGTCCGCTGCCCGCATCATCAGATCCCTCTTCAGCATGTTCGGCTCGGTGAGCAGCAGCCCCACTCTCCTAGCAGATAAGCAGGTGAGAATCACACTCGGGTCCTGAACAACCAGTCCACCATCCCGTCTCTTCGTGTAGAGTAGGTCTTTGTTCAACAACGTGAAGCATTTTGCCGCTGATACCTTATTCCCTGACACGAAATTGTTAATTAATCTCTCCAGCTCCGACCAAACTTGAGCGGGCGAGGGATAGACCTGCACCTGAAGCGCCATGACTGGGTGGATGTTGGCGACAGCAGCTCGCGCCTTGGTGGTGAGGTATTTCTGCTTCCACTTTATCAGCCTCTTTGCTATCTCCTCTAGCGCCTTCTCCCATGTCGGCAGTCCGCTACCGCTTGGAGTCACCCATACACCGAGCAAACGCTCCGCTTCATCTGGTTCCGCCCACTTGAAACTCCCCGTCGGCACCTTGTCTAGATTCATGCCCAGTGGTAGGATGACCGATTTCGATTTGTTGGTGGCCAATCCCGCCTTTTTACCAAACTCCTCCAGGATTACCTCTGCTTGTGCGATTTGCTCCTCCCCTTGCAGGATCAACGTGGTATCATCGGCGTATCCTAAGTAGGAAAGCCTTTGCCCTTCCAAACTCAGACCGAGCTGTCTCTTTTCCACCTCCTGTTCCAATGGCTCCACTGCACACAGAAATAGATACGGGGCTAAAGGGCAGCCCTGCCGCACTCCAGAGACCACATCGATGCCTTGCCCCATCCAACCATTGACTAACAACTTTGTTGTGGTGTGTGTATATAGCCCTTCCACCCAAGCCACAAACCGAGGCGGGAAGCCCATCTCCCGGAGTATGTGGAAGAGAAAGCTTCTGGAGACCGAGTTGAAGGCTTTCTGAAAATCCACCAGGAGCAGATACAAGTCCTTGTTGCCATTTTCGGCCGCGTCAATTATGTCCGCTACCAGCGCCACCGCGTCCGCCAGCCGACTCCCTGGAATGAAGCCGTACTGCTCCGGTGAGATTACCAGGTGAAGAACCTTCTTGATCCTATCCGCCAATACCTTCGCCAGGATCTTGGCGTAATTGTAAAGCTGACTCCTCTCTCGCCAGATCCTGGCGAAGGTATTGGTAAACCTTCTTGATCCTATCCGCCAATACCTTCGCCAGGAGTCAAGGAGTCAGCTTTACAGCCTCCTTGACTGTAATTGGCCTGTAATTATTCGCTGAATTTCAGCAGTGTAATTGGCCTGTAATTGTTAAGCTGACTCCTCTCTCCCTTTTTGTGCAAGAGTATTGTAACAGCCTCCTTGACTTCCAACGGAAGCTCTACTGTTGCGGTGAAATCATCGACCAGCACCATGAAGCTGCTCCCCAGCATATCCCAGTGTTCTTCAAATAGCTCCTTCTGTAAACTGTCTGCACCAGGTGACTTGTTTTTTGCTAGCGCTTTGAAAGCCGCTTTCACCTCCTCTTCCGACCATCTTGCTGCTAGCCCCTCAGCTTCGGTCACACCGAGCTTCCGTGTCGGCGTCTAAGCAGAGAAATCCACCCTCCGATCTTTCCCGAACAGGTTGTGGAAGAAATCTGACGCTGCTTCCAATATCTGTTTCGAGTCCTTAACCACCCCTCTGGCAGTCCGAAGTTCCGAAATATGCGTCCGTCCTTTCTGAGCTTTAACTGTCGACGAGAGCTGCTTCGACGAAACCTCCCCGACAAACTCCACCCTCAAGCCCGCCATTTGGTGCAATCTGTCTCTCCGTGAGGATTGGTACTCTTTGACTTGCGCCTCCTTAACCCCCAGCATTTCCCTCCTTTGGACGCTGGAAGGATGCGCCATAACCTCCTACCTCAGCGCCGACACCGACACCGCAAGATGGAGGCGAGTGGCACGAACCCTCTTCCGCTCCTCTGTCATGTATGCTTTAAGACCACCGCTAAGTCTTGCTATCAGCAGTTCATAGTTGTGACCGTCTGTTACCGTGAAGTTTCGAGACACCTCATGTATGATTTTCCTCACACTCTGTCTGCACAACAGAGCTTGCATTCTCCACAGTCCCAAACCCGTATGTATGCTGTTATCTGTCTTGAAACCCACTTTAATCCCGAAACCATGGTCTGATATCTTCTCAAGTGGTGAGACATGTTTGGCTAACTCCAGGAGCGGAAGGAGGGAGAGGGATGTGAGAGCGCGATCTATGCGGGAGCTGGCTTTTTGCGAATGGGAGTAGAAGGTGTACTCTCTTTCTCTCGGGTGAACTGAACGGAAAGCGCCTGATAGCTGGAAAGTTTTGCATCGGTCATAGAGCTTTGAGTTTTCTAATGCCAAACCTTTGCCTGATGTCTTATCTAAGTCTGGGTGTTCTATGATGTTTAAGTCTCCAATGATGAGCAGGTGAGAGTTGTAAGGTATCTGGTCTACTACTGGGCCGAGGATGTCGGCTATGAAAGACGTACGAGAGCTCGGGTCGGCTGGAAGGTAAACCGCCAGGAGCGTAAAACTAAGGCCAGGACTACGGACATCGACTCTGATGATTCTGTTGGATGGATGAGGCTGAATGTTAGTGAAGGCGAGGGATTGATTGCGACTGATGATGGCTATTCTGCCAGCTCTGGATTGAGGTGAAGTTGCTGCCATTGTTTGAAAGTAAGAGGAGGACCAGTAGGGGTGTGAGGCTTGGATCCTAGTGTCTATCAGGACAACTATATCAGCTACATCTTTAACCCAGTCTGAAACTTTGACTTGCTTGGATACATTACTAAGGCCATTAACATTGAGGCTTGCGCAGGTGAGAAGATGGTTGTGACTCATTTTACCACTGACTTGCAGCCCCCTTGCATCCACAGGCTGGAATTAACAACTACG